AGAAATACTCGCAGCAATTATTGGGCTACAATGGGTTGAAGAGCTCAGACCTGATAGGGTGGTGATATGCACAGACTCACTCTCTGCTTTGAAAAGCATACAGTCGACAATAACTGTTAGAGAAGATTTCATTATTGAACTTAATCACTGCTGACTGAGACTTCAGAGAAGGGGAATAGATGTGCAGTTATGCTAGGTGCCTGCACATGAGGGGGTTCAAGGGAATGAGCATGCTGATAAGTTAGCAAAAGATGCGTTAGAGAAGGAAATAGCAATACCAGTTTCACTTGGGAAAGGAGAAGGAAAAGCAATAATTAAGAAGAAGGGTATGGAAATATGACAGAAAAGGTGGGAGGAAGATCAGAAAGGGAGGAGATACCACAAGTTACAGAAATCAGTCATAACAAAGATCTATACAGAAAGGAACAGACGGGAGGAGATCACCATCACTAGACTCAGACTGGATCATACAGGATTAAACGGCACAATGTGTATAATGGTAAAAAGCGAAGTTGAAGAATGCAGGGGGTGTGGAGTGAAAGAAAATGTGGAACACATCATATTACACTGCAACATGTACAAAACAGAGAGGGAACAACTAAGAGACAGGGTCAGAGAGGCAGGAAGGGAGTGGAGCCTGATGGGGACACTGAGAACAGAAGGTGAGGGGGTAAGAGCTACCAGGAAGAGAGTGGAGCCTGATGGGGATACTGAGAACAGAAGGTGAGGGGGTAAGAGCTACCAGGAAGGGAGTGGAGCCTGATGGGGATACTGAGAACAGAAGGTGAGGGGGTAAGAGCTACCAGGAAGGGAGTGGAGCCTGATGGGGATACTGAGAACAGAAGGTGAGGGGGTAAGAGCTACCAGGAAGGCCATTCTTAAGTATTTGAGGGAAACAGGATTGATTGGAAGAATTTAAAACAACGTAAATACATGGTATACTGTAAGGTAATTATTATATGTACAGCACTTTGGCTCGACTAAAAATCGTTTTAAAAATGTGCTATATAAATAAAACTTGATTTGATTTGATTTGATTTGATGGTATAATTCCACAAGTGGTGATACACACTCTTGTACAGTAGGTGGCGGTATGCACCTTAAAGTTGTTTGCAATCCGCCAAAAACCGAGAGAAGAAGAAGAAGCCGACTCCGAGCTGTCCGACTTCAGGCGAGCTTTTTGAGACCTCCCCCAGCTGCAATCGGCTATTCTCGTCTACTTTCGAGGCGAGCCGCAGCTCGTCTCAAACAAGCCTAACGTCTTGCTAGTGCGTTGCATGATGGTTAGTCATTAGGCTTGTTTGAGACAAGCGAGACCGACGCAGACCTGCGCAATTGCGATCAACGTCTTGCTAGTGCGTTGCATGATGGTTAGTCATTTTGTCCGACTTGCTCTGGAGGCTCGCCTACATGAGACGTTGAAATCTCGCGGGACAAAGACGCCCGCAGACTTGAGAGCGAGGCGCGGCGAGGCGGCGCAGTTTCTCTCCACGGGCTGCGGAAGCTAAATGCTTGATGGGTGTCACCAGGGGCGTCGCCTGGACCTGAAAACATTCGGGGCTTAGCCCACAGTGGCGGCGGCACTCCAGTGGCATTTTTTACTGCAACACTCCCCACACGCACACACACAGTACACCCGAGACTGTTACAATGAAGGCTCGATAATCAGCTCACGGCATATAGGCAGGGGTAAAGTGGTATTTTTTATGAGTGGGGGGCTCACCTCCTCTAGGGGGGTCCGGGGGGATGCTCCCCCGGGAAGATTTTTTTTAAAATATTGAAGTTATATGCATCAATCTGGTGCACTTTGAGAGCAAAATGAAGAGATCTATGGATACCTCTCTCAACACCCATATGAAGCAGAACTGTAAACAGATGTACTTTTTCTTTATGGATATTTTACTAATCACTCCCCTTTTAAACTCTATTCTTGTTTTACTGCCATATAGTATTTCATAACTGTTTTTCCTTTATTATCTTTTTTTTAATAACTATAATGATCATATGAAGGTGTGCCGCGGAAATAATCTTTTGAATAATTTGTGACCAAACCGTTTGAGACCCACTGAGATAACTTAGACTAAAGTTAACTATCTAAACACTAGGAGAGTCCTTTAGCTCACCTGAGTCTCTCAGTCTGAGAGGAGAGGACTCTCCTCCAGCTTCTTGTGGAACAAACAGCTCCTTATGTCCGTTAGTGCAGCTAGCTAACCAGATGCTAACAACACGTCCATGCTGACACCCCCTCCCTCCCCCTCTCTCCCTCTCTCTATCACACTAAATGCGCTATTGACACACACACACACAGAGCCGAGCTTGAATGACACGGGAAATTACAGTGCTGCCGTCCTCTCTTGTGTCATGATGAGGTTCACGTAAAGCACGGTTAATGTATTATATTATTGAGGGAGAATTGTCCGGGGCTACAGAAAAAACATTCGGGGCTAAAGCCCCGGATGCCCAGGCCAGGCGACGCCACTGGTTGTCACTACCCGATCTGTCCACCTGCCCGATCTGTACTGCGCATGTGCGAGATGGTCCGCCATATTGGACAACTACATACGGCAACTCTACTAGGACACTTGACACAGTGGCTTTTGGCAAAGCAGAAAAAGAACCGAGAGAGATTATTGTTATTACAACGTGACTTCACTATTATTTAACAACTCTTTTTATTGGGTTCTTTTATTTGGGGTTAAATACATTGTCAGAATAAGTGAGACATGGATTTAACTTCTGTTAGACAGCTATATGCCATACATTTTTGCATACATTCACAGTAAATATTTATTCAGTATGATAGCTGTCTAACAGAAGTTAAATCCATTTCTCACTTATTCTGACAATGTATTTAACCCCAAATAAAAGAACCCAATAAAAAGAGTTGTTAAATAATAGTGAAGTCACGTTGTAATAACAATAATCTCTCTCGGTTCTTTTACTGCTTTGCCAAAAGCCACTGTGTCAAGTGTCCTAGTAGAGTTGCCGTATGTAGTTGTCCAATATGGCGGACCATCTCGCACATGCGCAGTACAGATCGGGCAGGGGGACAGATCGGGTAGTGACAATGGGAAACGACTCGCTGGTATCTCGACCTGAGCGCTCATTGGTGTTTTTTACCCCGTGCTGGTGATGAAACTCTCCAATTGGCTCGGCAAAAGTTTGTCGTTGTTTTGTGTCAGTTTTACATCGCCACTTCCATTCACATTTTTCATCATTGTTCCACAATGTTTATCATCATGAAATTAATATCTATATATTTTATACTATACTTCCACTGCTTACTGTTTTCATACTTTATATATCTTATCATATTCATACACACTGTTAATATTGTTCATACTGCTCATAGGCTACTGTGTATATCTAGTGTATTCATACTCATACCCCTCACTGTTTATTCATCATTCAATTCATTCTATATTTTATTCTGTAGATTGTGTACATTACTTTTCACTTTACTGCTTTATGCACTCCTGGTTAGAAGCTAAACTGCATTTCGTTGTCTCAGTACCTGTAATCTGTGCAATAACAATACAGTTGAATCTAATCTTGAGCAGGAACAAATGTATTTACTTAGTACATATCTGACATTAACGATTAAACACATGTGTGCATTCTTTAGATGAGAGAAACTTGCTCTGTCATAGGCCTACTGGGTCAGGCTACAAGGAAGTGGAGAGGAAAATATCACAAACAGAATACTACAGGATTGCTGGGAATATACAAAGTTCCAGGGGCGTGGGTTTGGCTGGACGAGTAAGGAGAAAACGAGGACATATGGAGTGGAGACCATCACGTTTGCCAAAGCAAGCCCATTTAGCCGTGTTCCCCCATGGCTTTCCCCAGAAGCTAACATAGATATGAGTTTCATAGAAAGGAAAAAAGAGTGGCAAATAAATGAAGTGGGAATTAAAACGAGTATGTACCTGAACGAAAAGTATTACAATTACCTCAAAATGTATACAGATGGATCTAAGAAGCAACAATGCGTGGGGATAGGCGTGTATATACCAGAATTCAAAATATCAATCTCAAAACGAGTGTCACATAACTTATCAGTTTATACAGCAGAAATACTCGCAGCAATTATTGGGCTACAATAGGTTGAAGAGACCTGATAGGGTTAGGGTTAGGGTGATATGCACAGACTCACTATCTGCTTTGAAAAGCATACAGTCGACAATAACTGTTAGAGAAGATTTCATTATTGAACTTAACCATTGCTTACTGAGACTTCAGAGGAGGGGAATAGATGTGCAGTTATGCTGGGTGCCTGCACATGAGGGGGTTCAAGGGAATGAGCATGCTGATAAGTTAGCAAAATATGCATTACAGAAGGAAATAGCAATACCAGTTTCACTTGGAAAAGGAGAAGGAAAAGCAATAATTAAGAAGAAGGGTATGGAAATATGACAGAAAAGGTGGGAGGAAGATCAGAAAGGGAGGAGATACCACAAGTTACAGAAATCAGTCATAACAAAGATCTATACAGAAAGGAACAGACGGGAGGAGATCACCATCACTAGACTCAGACTGGATCATACAGGATTAAACGGCACAATGTGTATAATGGTAAAAAGCGAAGTTGAAGAATGCAGGGGGTGTGGAGTGAAAGACAAATGTGGAACACATCATATTACACTGCAACATGTACAAAACAGAGAGGGAAAAACTAAGAGACAGGGTCAGAGAGGCAGGAAGGGAGTGGAGCCTGATGGGGACACTGGGGACAGAAGGTGAGGGGGTAAGAGCTACCAGGAAGGCCATTCTTAAGTATTTGAGGGAAACAGGATTGATTGGAAGAATTTAAAACAACGTAAATACAGTGGTATAATTCCACAAGTGGTGAAAGGATGATATGGTGATACACACTCTTGTACAGTAGGTGGCGGTATGCACCTTAAAGTTGTTTGCAATCCGCCAAAAACCGAGAGAAGAAGAAGAAGCCGACTCCGAGCTGTCCGACTTCAGGCGAGCTTTTTGAGACCTCCCCCGGCTGCAATCGGCTATTCTCGTCTACTTTCGAGGCGAGCCGCAGCTCGTCTCAAACAAGCCTACCGTTTCCATGGTAATACGTCATCAGCACTCGACCAAACACAGTGGTGGCGCGAGATTAGGGAAGCATTCAAAAGTATTTTCTCAAAAAGTGTTTTTAATGGACAGTTCTTGACATTAAGTTAGATTAGCTCTGTGTTATAAAGGCGCCTGGGTGCTCCGTCCAGCTGCTGCCATGACACAGTCCGTTGTTGTCCAAGGTGAGTTAAAACTCAACGTTAATGTGAGCATCCAGAGAGAAGCTAGCAGCTAGCTTAGCTGTCTTTAGGTTAGCCACTTCCGCTGCTGAATGCTAGTGCACAATTTATAGATTTACAGCAGGAGCATGTATAGTTCCGGGCAGAGTGGGAGAAGTACTCAGATCTGGTACTTAAGTAAAAGTAGAAGTACCAGAGAGTAGGAATACTCTGTTACAGTAAAAGTCCTGCATTTAAAATGTTACTCAAGTAAAAGTAGAAAAGTATTACTTAAATTACCAAAAGTCAAAGTAGTCATTGTGCAGATTGGTCCATTTCAGAATAATATATATGATATGTTTTATAATGATTGATCATGAAAGAGTTCTCAAAGCTGGTAAAGGTGCAGCTAGTTTGAATGACTTTGTATACTGCAGGGTAGCTTGTGAATTTACTCCAGGTGGAACTAAAGTCTGATTTAACACTTGATTATATTTCACATCATTCATCCAGATCTGTAAAGTAACTAAAGGTATTACATACATGTAGTGGAGTAAAGGTAGCAAAACATTTAGAGACTCAAGTAAATTACAAATCCCTCAAAATTGAACTTAAGCAAAGTACTTGAGTAAATCTGCTTTACACCACTGGCTACGGCTGATTCAACAAATGGTTGACACATTTTACTTCACTTAACCAAACTTTGAATGCGTGTTCTGCAGTTGGGCAGTGTGGCAACCAGGTTGGCTGCAGGTTTTGGGATCTTGCCTTGCGAGAACATGCCCATGTGAATAAAGTAAGTACTAATACACCCATCTCAACACTCATGAACTGAGTCAGGCACTAAACTGTCCTCACATTGTATTTGATGAGCCTGAATCTTTACGAGGACCCCAACAATTAGCTTTTTTAACAACTATTTATAAATTGTATTGTGAAAATGTATCGATGAAGTGTTATTATTTTATTGTTAGTCGTGTATGCATTATATATATTTCACTGTATGTTCGACTGTATGTTATATATAAACATTTTACTTCATTTACCTTATTTTTTCCAGCTTTGTTGTCCTTTTTACTATGTCATTTTCTGTACTGCTACACATACTTGGCCTATAGAATTCATTCTGATTCTGAAACAGACATGTTCACAACTTCCAGGACTTGTACAGGTTTCCTTACATCCTGTGTGTGTCTCATTTTCAGAAAGGATTGTATGATGAGGCACTCGGTAGCTTTTTCCGAAATGTGGACTCAAGGTAATCGAACACTCTAGTAACTAGTTACTGCTACATGAGTTGAGAAACGTGTCTCCATACAGTGGTCCTAATTTAGTCCTGTTGTTATATCTGGTTTTCTTTCCAGGAAATGTGATGGGGAGGCCCATGTTGTTGGTGGGAGAATCCAACATCTGAAGGCCAGGGTGAGTTCTGTTCATACCAGGAAGCAGCTTTAGGCACAGATCTTCCCCTCTGGTCCTCACTAGGAGTCAGATCAGGGTTGGATTAGATAGGGTTACGTAGAGAAAGGAAATATTCAAAGGCATGCGCTGTCCTCATACTTGCATATATTTGAATCTACAGGCGGTGCTGGTGGACATGGAGGAGGGTGTGGTCAATGAGATCCTGCAGGGCCCGTTGAGAGAAATGTTTGACAGCACCCAGCTCCTCACAGACGTGTCGGGTTCAGGCAACAACTGGTGAGACACTGACTCTTCACAGGACGATCTCTCATGGCTGCTAGCAACTGTTGCACACAAATCTTTCAGAATGCCAGTACATTTCTGAATGTCCCAAATCATTTTTATGGCACCATCATTTATAATTCCCAGCAAAGAAACAAAAGATCATGAGAAGCTTAGAGGTCTCTACGATTGTGGGTTTTTTCTTTCTACTGCCTCAAGCCTCCATTATACAATTTGGGGGAAAAGTCAGAAGTGGTTCTTGACATAACTACTGTGATTTCAGTCAGGGAGCCATTGTTACAGCTATGATTACCACAGCATGTCAAGCCTTGGTATTCTAAATATCACATGCTTAGAAAAAACTGACTTTGTATTCTTACAATAATTGGATGTACCTTCTCTCGCATACCATGAAAACACAGTAAAGAAATGCAATGTTTTTAGTCCCGGATAAAGTCATTCACGGGTGCTCACAGGCTGCAGCCCAGATATTCTAACTCCAAATTCTATTATTTCAGAATCAGAATACCTTTATTAGTCCCACAGAGGGGACATTTACGTAGTTACAGCACAAAAGAGCCACAGACAGCTTAATGTTACATATGTTACATTCATTCAAAAGTACTAAGTGAAAAAAAAAGTTTTAACCACTTTTTGAAGTGTACAAAATGAAAAATGTATTTTTCCAATTTTGGACCCAAATTAGAAAATAAATAAATAATTCTGCAACTGAAGTTCATTTATGGATAATAATTATCACCATATGAACAGAAATATACCGTCCATTTCAGACTCAAAAGAACCAAGACAATGTTTTCCAGTGTTTGCCCTTCATTTTTATGCTTGTTATTCTACAGGGCAGTTGGACACATGACGTATGGCTCAGCCTACAGGGAACAGATTGTGGATAAACTGAGGAAGGCAGCAGAACACTGTGACTGTCTGCAGTGCTTCTTCCTCATTCACTCCATGGGAGGAGGTAAGGCACAACCCAGTTTGACCAATTCCAGTCATGGGATCATTGATGCTTGACATTGAAGTATGTCAAAGCATTTGCAATGACCCCTTTTCTGTATGTATAGTACGGGTCCCCAGTAATTACAAACTGCCGGATGCTAACTCGCATATGTTGGGCAATTTGTACAATAAGCACAAGTGGTGTGTAATTATAACTAATTACTATTATAGCCTATGTAGACAATAGTTAAAGCTCACCTATTATGCTATATTTGAACATTATAAAACGGACAAGTCAAATCAAGCAATCTGATTGATTCTTAGCCGTGATATACTGAGCGTATACCACGGGTAGAATTGTAGTTACTTTTCACAACAAGTCAGTATCCCTCCGCATCTGAGAAAAACTGTATACAGTTGGGCTGAAAAGCAAACTGCCTGCAGTTTGCTTTTCAAACTGGGACAAGAAAACAGCGGAGAAGTAACGGGGCAGAAACCCTCCTTTTTACGCAGCGGTCCAGACAGACATCTAACGGCAAAACATATTCAGTGTGCAGTTCCTTTGGCATTAGGGCAGGGATATCTAGATACTTTCCAAGGTTTGACATAATGAATTGTGCTACTTTTAAAGCAAGCAACCATGTTTTCAAATCTGTAATCAAAAAGGTCCGCAAAAACGCTATCGACCAATCAGATTGCTTGATTTGACTTGTCCGTTTTATAAATATTATTACATTTCGTCCGTTACGAAACAAACTTACAAAGCTTAAGATGGAAACATTTAAGGTTAACTTCGACCTCCGGGGGGGGGGGGGGGGGGGGGGGGTGGTCCTATGGAGGAGTGGATTGAGCAGTGCCTATCTCCAGAACAAAAAGCACCTAAACAACGACATGTAGAGCTACGTGAAGAGCAGGTAGACCAACTGGAAAAGTACCACCATTCAAAAGCTTTCTGATGCGGGTCTTGAAACAAAGCAGAGAAATGATGACCGTTAGTGGCCACAGGTGCGAAAGCTCTCTCCAGAGCTACTGGAAGCCCAATCTCGGGGACCGGAGAAAGTGGAGCAATATTCTCGCCACGCCAAGCAACAGCCTAGAACAACCTCAACCAGTGGCGGCGCCAGGGTATGGCTGGGGTAGGCTACAGCCATACCAAGAAATGGCTTAGCCCCACCTTAGCCCCACCATGAAAAGTGATGTTAAAGTAAGCAAATTCAATTGAATAATAAGCAAAATGCAAAATGTTGAGAACACGGATAGCGAAAAAATACGGGTCGTGTCCACAGCACACAAACTGATCCTGCTGTAACAACAAGTGCACGTTACTGATGCAATATGGTTGAGACCATTCTGGGTTATGCTAGAATAGGGGTGCAAGGAATAGTCTAAGTAGTGGGGGAGTTTTATACACTAAAGGTGTGGAAATTCTCTGGCGTTATAATATCAGCGCCCACGGTCAGATCAAAATGCCTCCGAATGCAATTTGAATAGACCTACAGCCAATCAGAGCAACGAAACGTTGGGTCTGCGTCATGCATTATTGATTGAGATCAGTCGGAACCACCATTCAGTATCCCCATTGGATCTTCAACGTGTACTATCATACGTCACGTTCACAGTGATCCCTTTTTATTTACTACAAGACAAATGTGCCGTTTTATTTCATACAGTTCCATTTTGATTGAGAAAGGGAAATAATCTAAACCTCACGCGTGGCGTTTCACTGTCAAGGGGGCCGATATAGCGTGTATGTAATTACATTGCAAATACTGACTTGAGCACCACCACTGTATGGGTTAGCCCTACCATAGATTACCCAACAAAAATACCCTGACGCCGCCACTGACCTCAACCTATACAAGTGACCACGTAAGCCATGCTACTGATGCTGGACAGTTTTTCAGTGGGTGCACAATAAATGGCAACATACAAATGAATGTAAATAAATAGCCAAATAATGGATCAACGCTCTCTGTCTAATATGTTCGCTAGCTGTTAGTGTTGTTGCATAGCAACCACCTCGCACTATGTTTCGTGCAGAAGGCAACAGAGGGACTATTTTATTTTGAACATCATTATTTACTAATAAAAACTATTTAAATTAGAGTGTGTATTTTTCTTTCATATTGCCACACTTGGTAACCGTTTTATAAAAGCAATAGCTCACTTCAGGCCGTGATATATGCTCATTATATCACAGCTAAGGGGGTTGTCGACCCTCTGCTTCACGTCGGGCCGAACCTCGCCCCTTAGCTGTGATAGGCCGTGGTATATTCTCAGTATGTCGTGAGCTATTGCTTAAATATATTCATGGGCGGCGCCAGAGATTTTCTGTTGGGGGTGCTGTGGGGTAGCTTGCCGCTTCATAGAGGTTGCTCAAACATGTAGGGTTTCCCATTAAGGTAGCTATGGGCTATAATGTTCAACTGCAACACTCCCCACACGCACATACAGTAGGCTACACCCGCGGCTGTTACATTGAAGGCTTGATAATCAGCTCACGGCATATAGGAAGGATAAAGTGCTATTTTTTTTATAAGTGGGGGGCGGACCAGCCTCCTAGGGCTGAAGTTAAAGTTAAATTATTGAAGTTAAAAGCATCAATCTGGTGCACTTTGAGAGCAAAATGAAGAGATCTATGGATACATCTCTCAACACCCATATGAAACAGAACTGTAAACAGATTTCTTTATGGATATTTTACAAATCACTCTCCTTTTAAACTGTATTCTTATGTTACTGTCATATAGTATTTCATACCTGTTTTTCATTTATGCTCTTATTGTTTTATAGCCTAACTATAATGATCATATGAAGGTGTGCCTCGGAAATACTTGTTTACATAAATGGTGATCAAACTGTTTTGAGACCCACTGAGATAACTTAGACTAAAGTTAACTATCTAAACACTGAGAGTCCTTTACCTCACTGAGCTGACGTTATCTGACAGGAGAGGACTTTCCTTTCACTTAGTTGTAGAAACAGCTTCTAATATCTGTTAGCGTAGCAACAACAATCTTGCTCTCTCTCTCTCTCTCTCTCGCTCGCTCACTCGTGCGCTCTTGCCACACACACGGAGCCGAGCTTGAATGAAACACCCAGAAGTAGGCTACTTGTACTGTACTGTAGCATATCATTTTCGAATCAATCATTTTTCAAATTATGAATTTCACATATATAAAAAAAAACATACATTTATTGGGGTTGCTTAGCAGTTGCTAGGCCAATTGTTGGTGTTGCTGTAGCAACTGCAAGCTACCGCCTGGCACCGCCCCTGAATATATTATAGAGCCATATAAAACACGTCGCTCATTGTTTCTGATACAGCGAAGTTTCTGATAGGGCCGTGGGTGTAAAGCCAGCCCACAGTTTAGTAATGTCGTCATGACCGCAGCAAATCTGGATCAGCTCTGTTGTACCCCCGTTTTTAAAGATGTGGGTAAGGAGGAAAAGAGAGAGGGTTGTGTTTTCGGACACTTTGTGAGTCTCCTTACACACCGGGGACACATATTTATGTATAAAAGACATTAAAAAGTGCATTTTGCATAATAGGTGACCTTTATAAAAGGGCTTGGCCGATTTGGACAATTTTGGAGTGGTTTTGTATACGTTTTCTATACGTACTATACATTTCTAACAAAACCTTGGGGGACTCAACATTTCCGGGTTCACTATAGAACTCTATAAGTAAAAGCAATGATTATGAATTGAAGGTACAGGCTCGGGCCTTGGGACCAAAGTGCTGAGCCTGCTGGAGGAGGAGTTCCCCGAGGTGTGTCGGATTGTCACCTCCATCTATCCATCTGCAGAGGATGATGTCGTCACCTCTCCCTACAACAGCATCCTGGCTATGAGGGAGCTCACAGAGCACGCTGACTGTGTCCTGCCTGTGGAAAACCAAGTGTGTGCCTTTTCTCCTCTCACTACAAACATCTCTTCAGTATTTACAAAACAAAATAACCATTATTCAGGTGTATTGGTTCCCTCTGACTTCTCTTCCAGTCGTTGGTGGACATTGTGAAGAAGATTAAACATATGTCTCACAGTGGAAAGCCAGGGACTGTGATCAGGAGGGAAAGCGCCATCATCTCTGGGCAGGGGGGGCTCATTGGAGCCGAGAAGCCTTTTGATGCCATGAATAATATTGTGGCTAACCTGTTGCTCAACATTACCAGGTGTGGTATTTCTGTTTCACGTACATAAACATACGGCCTGTCCTTTGTTTCAATCCTGTTGTTATTTTATGTGTGAACCTATTTAAATAATTTGGAACCCTTTTTTTGTACACACTATTTTAGAACAATGCTAAATGGAGTGTTTATAAAACGTTGCCAAACTATAATGATATTTAAAGTACCCTTTTTTTTTTTTACTTTGTATAAACACCACAGAGCACCTAGTTATGTTTATAGCAGCAACTCTATGTACCTACTGAACAACAATGACGCGCAGCACAGGAGCTATGGGGTTGGATCTGTTAAAGCAGATGCTGATTCATTTTGATGCAAAAAACTAGATTGAACTACGAGGCTACAGAGATACAAGATTCAATAATGCCGGGCTAATAAGCCTCCGTTACACAATTGATGCGCAGGTTGCCAATTGTTTAGTGTTATACAGCAATACAAACACAACCAGAATGTGTTGTTTTGTGATCACTTTGCCAATGCACATTTATTCTGGTGAGGTTAAATCAAAAGGATACTTCTCCCTGGATGGACAGACAGGAAATAGATGTTGGATAATCAGGATGACAGAATGTTAGCATTCATGGAGAATACAGATCCAGGAGGATGTCAAGCACCTTCAGTTGTCTCCAAACAGTAAGAGCCATGACCGCCTCTTCACCATGGAGGACCACAGGCTACACAATCACACAGGAAGCAAAACTAAAGCTCAGCATTCAAACACATAGGAAAATAAACAAGAACACAATAGAGACAGACAGGAGAGGAGCGGAGGGACAAGTTGGCCCTGTGTGCTGTGACCACAGTCCTTATTGGAGTGTAACGTTTAAAGAGGTTATTGGTAAGAAGAGGCAAGTCCATAAGCACTTTTGTACGTAATTTAAAGCACCTTAAAGTCTTATCTGATGTGTATTACTAATTCACTGAGCATTACATTTTATTGTTTTGTTACAAAAATGCCATTTCCTACTAACTCACCAGACTTAAATGAGTTTGTTAATGCTTTTAAGTTGCTTATGTGTCATCTTCTGTTTCAGCTCAGCTCGTTTTGAAGGGTCTCTCAACATGGATCTGAATGAGATTGCCATGAACCTGGTCCCCTTCCCTCGTTTACACTACTTGGTGCCGAGCCTCACCCCTCTCTACACTCTGGCAGATGTCAGTGTCCCCTCCAGAAGGTCTGCTCTGGCTGTGAGAGCAGCTATTTTTGACTCACAGTTGTTTTGTGTTCAGGGTGTTGAGCTCACATGAACTCCATCATCCTCGTTAAACATGCCTCATGTTGACTGCAGTGATAACTGAGAGGAAATAAGCTCACTGATTAGAGGTGTGTTGATCCTCATTTGAAACATATTGATGAAACACTACCAGTTACATAGGAAAATAATTTAGAAATAAAATAATGACCAGCAATATCTGTAATAAATGATCAGTAACATTTAAACAAAGGCATACAATATTCAGATGCCACAAAGCCGGCTTTCAATTTATCAGATGGGATGTCAGCAACTTTAAGTTTAGTGCTGCAGGCTTGTGAAAAAGGCTATTTGATCCTGCCCCCACTCCACCTACCCTCCAACCTGCTCCCCAACAACAACTGCAATGAAAGTGGCCTTGTGAGCCATATAGTCCTCATCTGTTCCAGAGAAGCTGCTCATTGGTCAAAAAGAGTGGCGGTGAACTGGCCACGCTCACAGAGCTGAATATATGTGTCTGTATGAATGTAGAGCAGGGTGTTGCCTCAAAATATCTTGCCTGCTCAGCAGACTTGCCTGGATAAATAAAGATACAAAACAATCTTAGTAAAACATTGCTCCCTTGCCCCAGTCGGTCTCAATTTTACATTAAAAAACTGTAAATCCCTGAAGTCCTTTCAGTGACTGTAGGCAGCAGTACGCTGTGTGTCTCTGTCCTCAGCTCAGACCTCATCATGACAACTGTGCTTCTATAGTTCATAAAGAAGTTTGTGGTTTGGATTTGTTTACGGGCACATTTTTGTTTAGCACAGTGGTTCGTGTTATAACAAATCTGACCCGCCGCATCACTACTAGCCAGTAAATGGAGACATCATTCAGGGCAACCAATACATAAAGGTTGACAGACTGAGTGTAATACCTGGAAATATAGTCAAGATCATTTTCTTTTACTTTCTGTCTTTTGCTGTGCCCTCTAGACTGGATCAGATGTTCAGTGATGCCTTCAGTAAAGAGCACCAGCTGATCCGAGCCGACCCGAAGCACAGCCTCTACCTGGCCTGCGCCCTCATGGTGAGGGGCAACGTGCAGGTGTCCGACCTCCGCAGGAACATCGAGAGGTCAGAGCACCATCCAGCCTCTCAGTCTCCATCTGAAACAGCCAACCAGCCAGCACCCCCACCCTGATAGGCCCAAAGATGACCTTCACACTCGCTCTCCCAAATAGTACCCCCCATTCAGCACTGCCCGCCATGATTCATGACTGGTCCATTCAGCACCCACCTCTCCTCAGCAGACCTTGTTTTCATGTGGCATGTTGTCAAGAGAAACTGAAACAGAAGCTGCTATGAGAGCACATATTTGAGCGTGACCATGGTGTAACATAGGAGGAAAGGGAGGGAGGGAAAGCAAAACACTTTTCAGGGCACGCATAATCAATGGGTCATATTGAGGCACATTTTTATATTGGTTATGTCTGGCAATACTACTACGTTTGTTTAATGATTTTCTTTTGCCATGTCTCATGCAAACATCCCAAACATCTCAGCATGTGTTGCATTCATATATTTTATATAGTAAACTGAATATATTTTTGGAGGTTTGGATGGCTGGTTGGACAAAAGACCTTGCAATCTGTTTAACTGAAAATGTTTCTATATTTTCTGACATTTTATCAACCTAATTATCAGTGTTGTTAAGTGACTCGGTACTGAACTTTAGTTCCACCTGGAGTAAATTCACAAGCTACCCTGCAGTATACAAAGTCATTCAAACTAGCTGCACCTTTACCAGCTTTGAGAACACTTTCATGATCAATCATTATAAAACATATCATATCTATTATTCTGAAATGGACCAATCTGCACAATGAATACTTTACTTTAACTATATTTTGATGCTAATACTTTTTTACTTGAGGAACATTTTGAATGCAGGACTTTTACTGTAACAGAGTATTCCTACACTCTGGTACTTCTACTTTTACTCAAGTACAAGGTCTGAGTACTTCTCCCACCTCTAGTAATTATGAATAGCCTGATGAGAGAGATATCAACAGATGAATCAATAATGAATATATTTGATTTGTACAACTTCAGTGTGTTGAGATTCTTCACTTTACAGTTCTTGCTGGCATCCTTGTCACATGATGGAAAATAATATTACAATCCGTGCTGTTGAACGGTTTGAAGTGTTACTTAGTAATCTTGTATATATTTTCGTCAGTAAAATGTAAACACATATGTCATTTCCTCCCCGCTCTAGACTGAAGCCTTCGCTGCCATTTGTGTCTTGGAACCAGGAAGGCTGGAAGACGGGCCTGTGCTCGGTGCCTCCTGTGGGCCACTCCCACTCCCTGTTAGCCCTGGCCAACAACACCTGTGTGAAAACCACCTTCATGGAGCTGAGAGAACGCTTCACCAAGCTCTACAGGAAGAAGGTACAAGCTGTTGTATTGAAGAAGGAATGCGTCGTTAATCAAGCAAAACTGTCAAGGATTCCATTACAGCGACTTTTATCCAGTCTGTAAAAACATTCTGCATTACATTAATGCACATCATGCAAACATCTTGTTCTTTTTTAAATTGTAAATCCTGCACATTTCTTCTCCACACTACCTCTTTTAAAATCTGCACAGCTCTCTACTTTGAATATAGTATTTGTCATATTTTATTATATTTTACTGTACTCAGTTGCTCACATAATTATATTCTGTGTAAATATTGTCTATTTTTAATTTGTTATAATAGTTTTAAAATAGTTTTTTTTTTTTAAAGCTTTTATAAAAGTACAAGTAGCTTTTTCTTGCTACGCATTCTCTTTCTGTGTCTTTGCATGCACCACATATACCAAAGCAAATTCCTCCTATGTGTAAAACCGATTCTGATTCTGATTGATACACTCGGTCTAAAGTGAGGATTACTAATTTTATATATCTGACTGAAATACATTTTTGTTTTTTAAGGCTCACTTACACCACTACCTGCATGTAGAAGGGATGGAGCAGAGCCACTTCTCGGAGGCCCTCAGCTCTCTCAGCTCCCTGATTGAAGAGTACCAGCAGCTGGATGCCACCAAGGGGAGACTCATGCCTGGCGCACCCAGACTCCGCATCGCCAGATGAAGGTTCACTTTGTTTAAATCTGTCTGTTTCTTTGTCTGTCTCCTTGTATAACAATTATTATTTGTTATGTTATAAGGAATAATGATGACGTCACACAACCAAATCTTTTGTATATACCTTTAAATGTTATTTTTCAACATTTTCTAATTTATGACTCCATTAAAAACTTCTGTCTGAAAGAAATAAGCAGTAGCAACATGAGTTGTGCACCATGACCATAACATAATAATAAGTCCTGCTGCCCTGGCCATGTCCGGTGTTGTTATACAGTACACATACATGTGCTGATGACATTTTTCACAACTAACAACTTTTAAATATTTCTTCTTGTATTCGATGATTTTGAGCTTTGGTCTTTTTTTAGGCACATGCCACTCCTGAGGAGAACTAAATGACCAAAGTCTGCATTTGTTTTAGTCCCGCGTCTTTGTCTCTGAACTCTTTGGAAGGTTCCATAAGTTAGAGTAACCTCAGGTCAGAAAACATGTCACCAGGATCGTTGCACTTCCTCTGGCACACGCAGGACGTTATCCACTGCATCTTCCACTGTGTGCTGGTGCCTCCCTTGCAGGTGAAGTTGACCTTGATCATGCGGGACTTGTTAGGGACACAGCAGCGCTTGTCTGTGCAGACGCCGCAGTACGTGGGCTTAAACTTCTTGGTGCTGGTACAGCCCGAGAGGGTCAGCTTCTCCGCCTTCTTTGCTTGAAATTTAGGCCGGCATGTCTTTCCCTTTGGCGCCTATGAGAGGGAAAAAGTGATTATTTTATTGAAAACTATGGTAATACTTCCATATAATTTTACCAAGTTGTCACCTTAACACTCTTCATCACGCTTTTATCACATGGTCGCAGCAGACACAGGCGCCGGTCCTTCCTCATCTCACATTTGCCGTTATCGTTGTTGACACGCGATGAGATGCCCAGGCCGCAGGTTTTGGAGCAGGGGCTCCAGGGGGTGGTCTGGATCAAACAGTTCTTCTTCCAGGCTAAAGGAGGATCCCTGTAAGCTTTCAGTATTACAGTTAAAGGGCACTGTGTCAACAACACCCTACACAAAGAACTAGTCTGTGGGCTACATGCTGCCGCGCAGAGCACACAAACACACACCAAATACCTGCTCGTATCCACCATAAGGGAGTTAATTTTCTTCTAAATGTTTCCATTGAGCTGTACTTACACGGGTTGATTAGAATGAGTGGAGTAGAAATTGCCATTTGGCTGAAGTGTAAATATATTTGAGAAATCCCTAAAAACTACATTTGCCAGGTCATAGTCCTATTTTGAACCCGGAAATGTTGAGTACCCCAAAGTTTTATGTCAGAAATGTATAGTCAGTCCCCAGCACATAGAAACTGCCGGATGCTAACTTGCAATAGAGAGGCGAAGTCCCTCCCCTTCCGGTTGAGCTCCATGGGACCTTATTTCGGAAAAGTTATGCATTGAAGTCAATGGAGAGAGAAAGATTATCTTTCGATCCCGTTTGAATTGTGCCACGAATTACACACATGATGTTTGTCAATTTAAAAGATCATTTTGCAAGTCAAAAAAATAAATGTGTCGTAAAACTGTGAAGTAACACTTTTTTTTGTGTGAATGAAACCGCTCAATGAACTACATCTCCCGTCTCGCACCACACACCAAGACGGCCGTCACGTTGGCACATTTCACTTCTTTCTTTCAGAATGAGGCGAAAAGTATTAAAAGAGGTGAAAATCACTCCAAGTCTGGGCATGTTGAGAGCTGTACATACACACAAGGGGAGTTAGTCGGTTCCGTAAGAGCCAGCATGCAGGACCGGGATTCTGGGATTTGTAGTCTTTCTAGTTGCGTATTTTTCATAGTCTTATATTTCAACAGTTTTACAACAAACTGTGACTTTTTTGACATGGAAATAATTATTTAAGATTGACAAACATCTATGTGTAATTCATGGCACAATTCAAACAGGATCGAAAGATAATCTTTCTCTCTCCATTGACTTCAATACAAACTTTTTCCGAAATAAGGTCCCATGAGTCCCACCGGAAGGGGAGGGACTTCGCCTCTATTGGCAATTTGCACAATTAGCATCAATTGTGTTAATAGGCACAAATTACCAGTATAGCCTATGATGACAATAGTTAAAAAAAATCTTGGACAATTTTGGAGTGGTTTTGGGAATAATGGAGGATGCTTGATCTATTTCTGACATTTTCAGGAAAAATAATTGCAGTTTTAACCAGCAAGTGGTCACTCTGCATCCATAATTAATCCCTAAACCACTCCAAAATTGTCCAAATCAGCCAAGTCATTTTTAAACTATTGACCACATAGGCTATAATGGTACTTAGTGCTAATTAAAAACATATGTGAGTTAGCATGCTGCAGTTTCTATGTTCTGGGGACCCCTACTATACATTTCTATCATAAAACTGTGGGGAGCTCAACATTTCAGGGTTCACAGTGCTGACATCTACACTAAAAGGTTTAATTTTCCTAGTGTGGATAACTTCTACTGCCAGAGTAATACAATGCCAGCTCTCCTTCCCAGATGCCAGATAACGTGGACAGCAGTCCAGGCCCTGCAGGCTGGTTCCTGTACACAGGCCGCTCTATAAACACACACCTGACATGTAGGTAGTGTCCTGCTGGTTCTTCTTTGGACTCTGGCCACTGCGAAGGCCGGCTGGCATGTTTCCCATGAGTGAGGCGGGGCCTATGAGTTCTGCAGGCTTCTGGATGAAAGCAGGGGTACAGCCGATGGCTCCAGCAATACATGTGCACCTATAGAGGGGGCTGGGCTGGAAACCTTCTCCGTTCTCATAGTGGGCCCCATTCAGGTCACAGCCTACTGCCATCAGGTCTGAAAGAGGGAGGGAAACACGTCAACGCTCTGGCTCATGATGTTACTGTGAATGTTAAAAACAGCAAAAGATTTGCTCATATATCAATTAAGTCTTCTTGAAATTAATTGACTTATCACACACTTATTCTTACATGAAATAAAGAACCTTAAATAATTCCAAGATAGTGTGATATTTGCATGAAAATGCCCCCATTCATTTTTAAGAGCTGCTCAATAGACATTTAGAAAAACCTGCTTTTCTGTTTTCTTTCCTTCCAGCCAAGCAGTTTGAAAACATACAGGTACGAGACTTCTGCTGGCTCAGCGGTCTGACTTCCTGTCCGCTCCTCATAATTAATCACACTGCTTACATTCTGGTCACACAGAGTCATTTTCGGGGTTTTATGTCTCACAAAATATGTTTCTGCTGCTTTTCCAGTTATTGTGTATGGGCAAACATGTATTTTGGGGCCATCCTGTGATGATCCCAGTGATATTACTACGCCACCATAGTTTCCCAGCACAAGATGAAACAAAACAGAGACCAATCATAAAAAAACAGCCCTAGAGCCCTAGAGCTGTATAACTCCACATAGAAAGCCTTTGTAAGCTACATCCGTTCACTCAGTACTGGCAGACAGGACAGCAGAAACGACTTGGCTGGGACATCCCTAGTTTGTGATCTTGCTTATATATTTTATATTTTATCACCAGTTCCTGTGTCAACAAACGCAGAACGCAACATGTTGCATTTCTTTTTTTAATAACACAGTCCACACTAACAGTTGCATCACACTAACCGAGCTCTGGAGATTCAAATTGAAAGTGAGTAGCATCCTGTTTCTTAGAACTATCCTAAGATGAGGATTTCAGGGAAAGACGGAGCCACTCACATGCACACACTCCAACCTCATATCGTGGCTGGTCCGCTGAGAAGTCACAGTACATGCTCTTGTGGGGGTCACAGACGTCCCTCTCGTTGCACGGCACTCCGATCTGTCTGGCGCAGCTCTTGCAGCAGCCGCACCCGTCCAGGACGGAGCTCACCCCCGGGGCGCAGTTGGGTCTCTCCTGACACTTGCAGGGCCACTGGCAGAACTGCCGCCTCTCAGCCGCAGCCCGCCCGTCTCCAGGGGCCAGCTGCCCATTGTTCTGAGCCCGGCTGAAGACCTGGGTGAGGAGAACACATCCATTTTCACCCGCAATTTCTTAAAGGAGCAATACTCTGAAGAACTGTTTGACGATTTGCAAACCCCACTCCCCTGGTGAATTGGAATGGGGGAGACTTAAAGCGTGCTGCCTTTTTTTAATTAGTTTTAAATTGATAGCTCAAAGAGCTCCAAGTGAGGACCAGAACTCCACACCACTTTTTGCAACAGTTAGCTAGTCATTCCTAGATGTTAAAATGGGCAGGGTTGCACTTGGTTTGGAAATTGTCTTTATACTTAACAAAGCAACTGCTGTTACTGTACTACATTTAAATCTATTTATATTACAGTAAATAGCTTTGGAGATACAAAACACCAAACATGTTTTACGCTTTTGTACATTATGTTTTACCTTATTCATTTGAGACCCTCCAGAGGTGGTGTTTAATATGCAGCAAAAAGTGCTGAATGGACACCAATAGCCTCCTTTGGTTGCTAATGGAGACAGTTAGGTCAACCTGTCCCCAGAACAAGACTTTAGTATATGAGATGGGGATCTCATTTCCTCTGCAACATTGAGTATGTCCAATTACTAGAATTCTTCTGACTGACAGATTGGATATAATTTGGATGAGCACGAGGATAAACAATTTAGACTTTAATGACCTCATGACCTTTTTGGGCCACTCTTAGGGGGGAAAGCCTTTAAGCCCCACTACGTGTAGGTCTCTTTGAATAGTATTTCAGTATGTTTTAATTATATTTTTTATCCCTCGCTACCTCTTGTTAATAACCCAACTACTATCGAGACCAGAAGACCTCCATATCAGAGTACATAAATAGAGCGAGCAACAGACCCTTCAAATAAAAAACGTGTTGCCTCAAGTCAATAACAAATTGTAAGATATTGCATTTTCTGTCTTTTTTCTGACTGATCAAGTTAAGCTTGAATACAAGAGATTTGTGTGGGTGACAGGTAAACATTCCCGCTGAATAAACTAGTTAATCCATATTTGTGTCAAACATCCCTTAAGAAAGTTAGGAAAATAAACATTGTCGTTTATAAACTATTAAAAACTCATCAATGAGCCTCACTGTTGCACTGGCTGACTATTCCTCCCCGGTAATGAACATACACTTTATAAGGACTGCAAATACACACTGCCCTGCCACCCCAAGTACTCACTCTATCACCAAATGGGGATTAACCCACCGCTGAAATAGTTCCCAACGATTGCTCCATTTATTTGACTCTTATATTTTTTGTGTTTATAGAAAAACTGAGTTTTTAAAAAAACTATAAATTGGCGACCAGATTTGAATAGAAGACACGCAGCAGTGTTCCCTATAGTAAGCCGTAGATTGACATTTGACACATTCTTTTACATTATCACAGTGGAGGTGTACATTCTTTACATGAAATGTTAAGTACTCCATTTTGAGATTTAAGTTGTTTTGGGAATTTTTGAGTCTCTACTGTCAGTTACAAAAATGTAAAAGAACAAAATGAGTCAAGATACGCCAACAGAAATATTAAGGCCATTCAGCTAGAATCAAGCCCCTTTTTCACTACTACCACGAATGATAGAATATTTAGTTTTAGTTTTTAATTGAAGCATTAATGTTTTTGTTATGTCTCTGTGTTCATGTGAAAGCCTACGTGGTGACGGCTTATAAATCTTATGTTTGTATCCTTTTGTTTAATTCTTTCAAATGAATGGCTTTGATTAGCTTGGTATTTGCTATGATGCAATCTGTGTGGAGCAACGTGTGCTTCAATCCCCCCCGACTATTGTTCAAGGGTCACTGAGGGTTATGCCAAAAATCTGAAGCCTGTCTGCCAGGTTTACTGAATGAGCTCATTTGATGGTGTGAAAATGGGTCCACAGCAGCTTTTAAATAAAGATCTCAGACTTTTCTCCACAAGTTTCCCACTGAAAACAAGCTGTGAACCCAGTAAAAAAGGACAACACACCAATCTATGTTCAAATATGTTTTTATTGGCCACCTGATTATTATTTCACTATATTCCAAAGAGTCTAATAATGAAAAGTAAAAATGTGGGTTAATCCAAATTCACTGCTACAGAGAAAACTGACGCATCTCAGTTGTCTATTTTCCTGTTGCTTCAGATACGGCATGCATTAAGTGTGTGTATGGTTCCCTATCAGAAACACCAGTCTGTCTGTAGAATAGAAAAAGAGATCGTAGTCTTACCTGTTGAGCAAGGATGAGCAGCAGGGAATGGCAGAGAAGCGATAGCATCTCTTAAGTGAGAAGGTCTGTGTGAGCTCCAGGAGGGCGCAGGGGGACGACAGAGCTGGAAGGTGGGATTTAGAGAGGAAGACTGGCAGAAGGAGAGAGAGAGAGGAGTAGGGGGAAGAGATTGGGAGAGCTGACCTGGTGGAAAGGGGACAAAGCACCCCTCTGTGTCCTCTCCAAACACACCTTTCCCTGCCTCACTGATCCACAGGGGAAATATTTGTCTTCATAACTGCTGGGCCACACCAGGGCCTTCAAGTCCTGCCCACTTGTTTATTCTTAGTCTGTGTGTGGACCCGCTTCATTTATCTGGGAGCAACTAACAGTTCAATCTGTAAACCACGTGTGACAGGCTGCCACATAAAGTAGAACACTTTTAAGAAATACTTTCCCAAGCATTCTTTACCAGACAAAAACTGAACTCATGAGTAGACTTCCAGTTTGTAAATGCATCCACTGTTTGTTGTTTGTTCTATTTGGTGCCTAAACTGTATGGTCCCACTTAATGCAGACTGCGTGTCTTTGAGTTCACATTCCATTATTATTTACACTGAGTAAAGAGGTGACTCTCAGAGCCAGCCATCCACGTAAAGCCAACGCCCCTTTGAGACTACACATGGACAGACCAGAATGAAGCCGCTTATTGGTAATGTTTTTGACGAGTGATGCAGGAATAAGTCTTCAATCCGGAAATGAGTCAGCATTGTACCACTTCCGGGTGACTCAAAGTTAACGTTTTTTTCAATGTTTTTGGTTTAGAAGCAAATATGAATATCCAAAGCTTCTTTGTGTCATAAAAACTGTGGTTGAAAGTGTTTTAATGAGACTAGCGTAATCATGATGAACATTAGCAGCCTTTAGCTTAGCGAGGTGATGCACAGCCATGCGTTCGTGATGTACTGTAGTTTGTTTATAGCTTATTGTTAGCTTTTTATTTTTGCCGATTGCATTTTTGCTTAAATAATCGGAACAAAACATGTACGCTTGTCAAACGTGTTTGCACAGATCTTATTTTCTGCAATATTCCCAATTCAATGGAAAATCCCATTGTATTTGTCGAGAACACCAATGCTAACATTCGGGGTAGCCTACATCATCACTGCATCGCTCTACAATGCTCTACAACTACTCTCCCAATAACCTTTTCCCAGGTTTTGTGCAAAAATATCTTGTTGAATGAATTGTCAAGAATTGTGGAACAGATATTTACCCCACACTCAGACTACATTTTTATATATTTGATATTTGAAGTTATCACATAGTGCCTCATCGGTGTAATTTGTTCAATACTCTGGTTTATGACCATAATAACCTAATTTGAGCATCCTCAAAGGCTAAACTTAGATGGTAAGTATCGTCATTATTATACCT